AAAAAATCCATGGTTACTTTCAACTTATAACTCAAGACTAGTAAAAATTTTCATAAATATAGAATTCTGCTTGACTCACATAGTTCTGTTTCCCATAAGAAAACTTACTACATAAAAAGGAAAGGAATATTTAATGTTTTAAATTACTTTATCAGTTCTTATTTAATTGTTTTGATGTATTTTCTCTGCACCTGCTTAATGGTATTAACTGCATAGCTGCCTAAAATATATATGTCTGATATAAGGGTATTTAAGAAAGATTTATATCAAAAAATTATTAAATGTCATAGGGCATGAGTTTTTTGAATTATGAAATGATTTTATATTTTACACAACTTGTTCAGCATTTCTACTGTTCATGAAGCATTGCAGAAACAGACCTGCCTGAAACAGCTGAATAATTGAAAATTATCTGGATCCCTTGCCCAGAAAACTACTATCCACTAGCAAAGTCAGTTAAAACTCTCTTAGAAGCTTGAGATGTTACATGGCCTCTGCATGTCAGCAACTTCTGTATTAGTTTGACACTGATGTTAATAAACTTAGTTGGTGAAAGAATAAATTAAAATGACTAGATTCCAAAAACTTTGTAATTTTAAATACATAGCAGATATTTTACAGTAAATATATAACATATGGTCCTCTATAAAGCATAAATTGCCAGACCTTGGAATTAGAATACTTACAGAAATGTATTACTAATCATCTCTACAGCAAAGCTATGATCTGTTGTTCTTTTCTCAAGCTTTCTTATTTCATCCTCCTGCTTTCCACATCTCCCTGCAAGAGAGCATGTCTGCCAAAATCACACTCAGAATTACTCTGCTAACAGATACTTGTAAAAATAAAACTTTTGGAAAGACATGAAGAAAAGAAACAACATGTTCTAAATGCTGTGGAGACACTAACATAATTTTCATTAGTCCTGGGACCTGGCAGCCTTGTGATTTTCTGTCTCAGATCCTGGAAGAACAGAGAAATCCTTCATTCTCGGGCTGACGAAGCATTGTTTGCAGGATTTTGTTTATGGCTTTCTAGTGTGACTTCTGATGGAAAATTACCACAAGAATTTGCCCACCTATGAACCCTGAAAGAGGTTGTTGTTTCCAAAGAATACTAAATAAAATTTAACTTCTAAGAATCATTTCCATTTATTTTTAAAATGTCTTCTTGCCCTACCTGTCTCTACAGAGTTTGAAGCAGCAGACAATAAAATTCAAATAAAAAATATTTTTCAGTGATGTGACCATGTTAGGAAAGATGAATTTTTCTTGACATCACTTTTTAAGGTTGACTTACCACTTGGGAATGGTCAGAAAGTCTACTAAGACATTGAGCATGTAACAAAATTGAAGTATCTCCATTGCCTTTGCTGAAGTTGCATAAAGATTTTCCATGTGTATCCATTGTATCATGTAATATTAAAACATAAATTAATTAATTTGGAGAAAGTAATTGTTATAATTGCCAGAGATAAAGTTCTCTGGCAATATAGAAAAAAAATATATCTTTAAAGACCTAACGGAATGTTTCTATTTAATATCTCTATTATCAAGTGTTGCTTTGAACCTAGGATTTTAAGGATCTATATAGTATTATTCTGCAAGTGCTAAAGGACAAAACTCAATGTTGTTGATTAAAGAAAAAAAACCTGCTGTACTTTTTGTGAGGGCATTTCCTCCCCCAGGAAAGTCATAAAACCCTAAGTCTTTTCTTTGTAACAACAACAAAAACCTGAGCTCTGCGAGCCTTTGTAGCCAGAATAACATGATGTGATCCACCATGTTCCCAGGCCTCTGCTAAACCACCCCCGTGAGTCCCAAATTCTACATGCTCTACCTTGAAGACATGATAAAGACTTCAGCTTTGCCCATAAAGGAACATTCCCAAAAAGATTTCAAAGAAAAAGAAACATATTAATGACCAAACTGCATGAGGTGACTTGGAAACCATCACTGTAGGAGGCCCAGACATTCTTACTGCCAGAATCTAAATAAGAAGTCATATTTGTTGCAATCATCTCAGTATTTCATAGAGCCATGGAATTTTCAGCACCCACTGCCTACCCTACACCTCTATTCTAACTTTTTCCACTTGATATATGATTTTCACTCCCTGAAACTTGGAGAGATTATGCTAGTGGAAGCTTTATTTAAATTGTCTTGAGAACTACTGAAAAAAAAAATTTTCCATCTCTGTCAGGTCACTTGTTAGACTCAGTTATTATTGCAGTCTATCTCTTCCATGTTAACTTCCCAGCAACGTTATTACCTCTTTAAGGTACGTATTAGCTACTCACACCATGGCTACCTAGGTATAAATTAGATGATGCATCATTTGAGGGCAGCTAAGCCCTCCTCTTTTGTTTCATGTGTAGTTTCTGAGTGCCACAGACTATAGGTGCATACTTGTAATCACTCAGAGAAAGCTAACTGAGTTGAATAAAAGCTATGAGTTCAGTTCTAGGAGAAAATAAGTGTTTTATATAGAAACTCAGAATGATGCCAAGAAGTCAAACATTCACTACCTCCATACACAATCCACCACCAATAAATCCTAGATTCATATTCCTTAATAACGAAATTATTTATGAATAGCCAAGATAATGTTTTCACTGAATTTATGTCAAACTTGTAACTAGCAATCTGAAAACAATTAGCAAAGATCTGCTCTGAAGGCATTTGTGAAGTGGGTACAGACAAGTACATACTGAGAAGGAAAAATTGCTACATGCATCTCTAAACAGGAAAGTCAGGCTGAAAAGTGCCTCTCTCACAGTGAAACTCAATGATGGGCTAGAAAGAGAGACTACCTGACAGTGGAAGCTTCCAGGAAGAGAGAGAGAGAGATAGCATAAGAAGGAGGAGGAGGCGGCTAAGGAAAGGCAAAAGGAGAGGGAGAGGAAGAAGGAGCAGGAGGAGAGGAAGAAGAAAAGGCCAGAGGGAGAGAAGGCAGGCAGGCAGGAAGGCAGGAAGGCAGGAAGGCAAGGAGGCAAGAAGGCAAGGAGGCAAGAAGGCAGGAAGGAAAGAAGGAAAGGAGGAAAGAAGGAAAGTTGGTTGAAGATACATGGCATGAAGGCCAAAGGTGGGCTTAGCCAACTTAGGAAAATTAGTATAACTAAAAATATAATTAACTATTAGGTTATTCATGGTGTATTTTATTGAAATTCATCCCAAAGCTTTCTCTGAGAAATGATACCCTATTTCTCCCATTCTTTAAGATACTCTGAACTCTTTGTACTCTCATCTCGGTTACACTATTGTTAAGCTCAAGGTCTTACATCAACGTGCTGTTGGCTCCCACTCCCACTTCTAGCCTTAAACATTTTCCATTAGGGATCCATTCTACATTTGCTTGAAACAATTGCCTTGGTGAAAGTATGATGTCTTTGGAAGCTATATTTATCTTGTAGATCACCAAGATCCCGAACCAATCATTTGAGCTTACCAAATTTCTTTTAAGTATCTGAAAAAAATAATCTCAGCTTGCATAATGGATTCATTCTTCACATAAAAATGAAAAGAAACATAGTCACATTGCAGTTCATTTGCATGTAGCATTAGGATATAATTCATCCAATGTGGAAATTAAATCTTAACATAAGCTAATGGTAAAAGCTCACCAGCATCTCTGCTTAATTCCAACAACTCTCCAGTGGTATAATATGCTGAAGATGATAGCTAGGTAGATGTGATTATATCCGGCACAAACTGGCCTTCCTAAGCTGTTGCAAGTACAATCTTCCAATGATCTGACTAGGGTACCACGTTGGAATCACACATATATTTGAGAAAACAGAGATTAATTAAATAGGATGGAGAGAAAACATGCAATGGAATACCCCTGAATTTTTTATATAGTACTGCCATTGCTGCATGACATCTATAAACATGTATCTAACTATATGTAGATTGTAATATTAAACACCCATGCATGTATTCAAAAGAAGGTTTTCAAATACATTTGAGCTAGCATTTGTTTTAAGCATAATGGAAGTATACCATTAGTAATGCATAATCAATCAATAAAACTTGCCACATTTTGAATAACATACTTCCCAAGGTCCTCTATTCATTATATAAAAATCATAAAATGCCAGAAATTCTATCCGTAAACTTCCATTATCTAGTAGTTAACTGTAAATCAATGGTCAGTGGCTTGACTTCAACATTCAATACTGATAACATGCAGTATTGTGCTATGTTTAGATTATTATTTGGGGATATATAAATATATATGTAATTTGTTTCTTTTTTAATCTTGTATTTTAAGGAGTAGAAATTCTTTGCCTTCATTTTCTAACTGCTTTAAGATGATTCATTCTCAATTGTGAGTCCTGAACTACACAATGGGTAAACAATCTAGAAGTACTAAGTTAGCGGAAAAATTGCCACTTCCTCAGAGAAAGTGTTTAACTCCCCCAAAATGAAGCTTCACCTCAGTTCATTATACTGTATGCACATTTTGCCTATTTAGAGATTCCATCAGTGTACAATTTTTCTATTGACCACTGTTTCTTTAACAGTCCGATACTCCTTAACAAGCTGTAAAATGTACACTCTAGCACAGAAGTTATCAAGTGTAAATTTATCTCCAACACATTATGCAAAAAAGATTAGCATTTATAGCACTGAAATACAGCTCTTGAGTATAATCAGTTGAAAGGACCAAGAGCAATGTTTCCTCTTGAGAAAGCTGTGCAAAAACCCTCCGAAACAGCAAGGGAGTGCATAAAGTTTCAAAAGTTTTTCCAGTGCTATGTCATTCATGTGCTCAAATAGTTAAGATGTTTTCACAATATATTTTGAGAAGTTGATAAGAGTCTGTATACAGACTCAGAAAATAGAAAAACAAAGGACTCCTAGAGAATACATGAATGTGAAGTTTAAGTGCACTCTGTTGCTGTGCTATAGGTTAGTGTCAAAACCCTCAAGAGAAGGATGAAGAGAATCTGTTGTTCCTGACACCCCTGGAGCCACCTGGGATGTAGCATTACTTACCGAAAGATGGGTCTTTGGAGATGTTTCTTCCTGATTGTGACATGGTCATCCATTTAAAGGTGAAGGTTTAACTTCTTCCTGGAAACCACTCCAGAAAATCCAGGGAGGGAATGTGCACACTTATTCTGAGCTATTGTGCTGCAAAGAGCCCAGAAGGAAAAAGTAGTTTCCTCTTTCTCTTTTTGGGTGCTGGGAGAAAACTTCCCTGCTCTCTGCCAGCTGAGCAATGTGTCCATAGAGGCCACATAAGAGAGGCACGTTGGGGCACTCCCCCACAGAGCAGGGTGAGTAAAAACCACCAACAGTCACGTTGAGCTGGGCAAGAGAAGCGCACGGGACCCTCGGCAACAGAACAGAGTTAACAGAAAACTTCCTATCTCCAGTGACACCCAGGTAGGCGCTCCCTAAATGATTGCAGCCATGAGCACTCTCCTTCCACATGCTGGTCAAGCTCAGAAAGGCTAAGTCCCTCCCTGTCTTTAAAACAGCCTGTTCTGAGGCTCAACCTTTTTCTTCAAAATAAAAGTTGCACAGCTGGCTCAGCAGTCCCATGTGAGTACCCTCTGAAAGTTTGTCCTGTTAAAATAAGAACTGTATACAAATTAATGAAGAAAGATGGGCTCGGGTTTCAGGGCTGGCTCTGCTTCAAGAGATTATAATTGTTTTACAATCTTGCTTTTATTCATGCTGGATGAAGTGTGCAGACAACTCATCATTTTTGGCACTCATAACCTAATAACCTACACTTGGCTGAAGTTGAAGATGCCATTTCCACTGATAGAAGCCCATGTGAGCTAGTTAGTGCCTCAAAAGTTAGAAAAACAAAATTGCTCAATTCTATTGGTGACATTGTACCCAGATGTCTGTACCCAAATGTGGCTGTCCAGCAAGGAGGAGACAGAGAAAAGAATTGGAAATACAAACACACCCACATGCACTCATAATTTTTAAAAAGCTCCCAAACACCCAGGATACCTAAGATTTTTTTTAAAAAATGTTATTGTTTAATGATACTTGAATTTTGAAACTGAAATAAAAGGAACGAAAAGCAGATATAAAATACATTTATAAACAGCTGAAAATAAATGACACTAAAAATTTTTTTAAAATAAGACTCAAACTTACACTACAGGAAATGCTGTTCTGGTTACAGAAACTTGAGTTCTCATACATTAATATAACTAATTTTGGAAACTTCCCTGAATTTGAAACTACACCAATGTTCTTTTTCTATCAATAATATTAAAGATTTCAGCCAGAGGTCTGGTAAGTAAAGAAGTAAAACTTCTCAAAGCATGACTTAAATATTTTTAAATTATATGTGTAAAAAGGATGGAAAAAATGGACATCACCTCTCTTCCACTGACACATCCATAAAAATAAAGATCAAATGTCATGAGGGAGAATATGATCTCCAGTCATCCACACTGTGCAGGTGCTTCCAGCAGAGCAAGCGCACCCTCCTGTTTTCCTCCCAGGAATGAGATAAGCAAGGCGAGGAGAACTACAAAGAAATCACTAGTTTTATTGAAATGTTCTGTTCCACACTAGGAAGCGTGACCAGGCTGAGAGAGCTGGATTCTCATGGGTTCCGGTCTTAACTCAATCATGAGTGTGCTCAACTACTGTGAGCAAACTTCTCAATCTGTCTGAACTCGTTTTCCCTGCTTGTAGAATGAAATTATAATACTGACTGCATTCTAAGCTTCTTCAGAGCTTAATGGTACTGTCATATTTGTAAATATGACTAGTTTAGTTCATATAGAGAACATATCAGAGGTTGTATAAAATCTGAATTCCAAAATGTGCAGTTACTATGTACAGTTGTACATAAAGAAAGCTGCCATAAAAATATTTTATATTAAGTTTTTCTGTACATACAATACATTTACATAGTCAACCTTAAATCAATGTTCTCATTATAATGAATGTGTGTCGAATCATAAATTCACATGTGTATATAACAGTAAAATGTGGAAACCATTTATATCTAAATCCATGTAAAGTCTTTTCAAGTTGTACTTTATAATAGCATGTTTTACTTTGCTTTGTATATAGGCAGGTACAGAAGTAATAACACAATGTATATGGCTTTTGGGGACTTTTTACATTTGTGAATGGCACTGAATTTCTATACTTGTGTTTTGCCTATATTACTATTAATTTAACATGAAAGGTCCTCCTGAAGAGCAACCCAAGAGAACAACAATTCAATAACCATTAAATAAAATTTCATTTTGCCTGCTTTTGAATTCTTAAAGTGAGATCATTTCTACATAAGCACAGTAAAAGGAACTCCCTTGAATGCTAACAACAACAAAAAAATCCAGCCAAGTACAGCCCAATGGCAAGCCAAGTATAAATATAACTTTGCCCTCAAAGACTTGATTATTCAAGCTCACATTGTGGCACCTGCAATGCTGGCATCCCATAGAGCACCAATTAAGAGTCTCAGATGCTCCACCTCCAATCCAGCTCCCTCTTAATGCAGGTAGGAAAACAGTAGATGACTCAAGCACTCATATAGGAGACCAGGCAGAAACTTAGGGCTCATAGCTTCAGTCTGGCCCAGTCAAAGCAACTATTGACATTTAGAAAGTGAGCCAGTGAAATGGATGGTCTTCTTTCTATGTCTCTACCTCTTGTTCTCTGTAACTCTTTCAAATAAATATAATAAATATTTTTTAAAAGACTTGATTATTGGGGCTGAGACCATGGCTACTATGCTAAGCCAATACCTGAAGGGCTAGTATCCATATGGACATTAGTTTGAGTCCTGAAAACTCTACTTCTACTCTAACTCCCTGCTACTGTGCCTGGAAAGGCAGCATCCATGGAAGACCTAGAGAAAGCTCTAGGCTCCTGGCTTTAGACTGACCCAGCTCTGACCATGGCAGCCATTTGAAGGGTGAACCAAAGGATGGAGGATCTCTCTCTCTTTTTCTCGCTATAATTCTGTCATTCAAATAAAAGTGAATAAACCTTTTTAAAAATCTTTAGTATCAAGTAAACAATCTAAAAATTGCTTAAGTAATTCCAAAGAAATCCATAACATTTCTGTATATTAGATTTATATTATGGTTTAAGTGGTTGAAATGGGAAGCGCATGTTCATATTCTTATTACCCACCATATTTAAATCCAGTTAGAATCTGAACAACAATGGAGAAATATCAATAAATTTGACATTCACTTGGCACACATAAAGATATTTATTTCTTAAATTTTTTTCAGTAACTTTTTCCTCCAAGATTATTTTTAATATTAGGAAGAAATGTTGATGTTATTAGTTTCTTCAGCTTAAATACAATATTTAATAAGATGAAAATAGCGCACTGTTGTTGCTTAAGTCATAAAAATATGTTCTTTATGTTAGCACAACTTTGCACTACATAATATTAAAATTTATGACATAAATAATGTGGCACACTCTCTTATAAAACAAACTAAACTAACTTGTCATGAATTGTTTTTGTCTCAGTGCAACATTCAAAAATATTTTTTTAGATTTTTTCTTGCAAGGTTAAATAAAGTGAGCCTAACATTTTTCTGTATATAAAACACATAGTTACATACTCATATGTAATCATATCTACATTTACATATTGCCAATCACACATACATCCACAATATATACATGCAAACCTATGCTTGCTTTATTCATCTGCTAAAATAGCTAGCAGAAACATACCAATGCATTCATCATAACTAATTCATTTTGTGTGATGGAACACAGAATTAACTCACATGATTTTTCCAAACAAATACATATTGAGAGTGTCATATTAGTTTTCATTAAACTTCATAGAAAAGGAGCCATTTTTTAAAAATCTTTTCTTGTTGTTAAGTTTCTCCCTGGCTTTGTCTGTAATGGGAGTATGTAAATGCCAAGCCACACAGGGGCAGAGAGATCATGTGACATGTGGCAGGTTGGCCACTGGAAAATGCCTCTTGGAAGGTTATCACCATCACCACATAAGTCTAGTCAAATACCAGGTAGAGACCAAGTGTGTGTTCTTTTTCTTTTTTCAAATACAAGATAATAAAAGACAGTGAAAACAATTATATAGATGAGTGTTAACTCAAATGAAGAAAGAAAAAGAAAAAGTGGAAAATAAAGGATAGGAAGCATTTTAAGGTATCATTATGATATACATAATGATACTCCAATAATTTTAAAGTTGATTCTTCCATTGTTACCTCCCTAGCCTGCTAATGTTAAAGATGACTTTGTATAACATAAGAGGATTTCATATACCTGCACTCCAGTTAAATGCTTCCAACTTTGTGTGTGTGTTCACCAACACACATATCTGTGTATGTCATACAGCAAAAGTGAATTGTACATGTTACATTCTCAGAAAGCGATCTAAAACATGCACTTTAAGTGCAGGCAATTCCATAGTTTTCACTTGTCACAGTCATAAACACTGTATCACCAAAGTAGAAAGTCACTGTTCATCTATGTCATGAGGTAAATGTCTAGGTATAAACTATTCCTTGTAGAAAAACCATTACCTGCCATTGAGTCATGAGTAAACATATTGCAATAAGTTAGTGAGAACGGCTTAACTATAATTTAAATCTGAGTTATTCTTAATAATTAAGTCCCCCACAATTTGCAGCATATTTAATACAAAATTCTTGCTGTAACACTCAAACCAGTTAAGAAGCTGTCTGACACATGGCAGAGCCAGGATTTGAACTCAGATATTACTTTAATTAAGAATGTCTCACCTGGGAGGCAAAGCCAACAGGGGAGCATGGGCACCCATGCTGGATAACTACTTCCACTGGAAAGTGTGAATACGGATGGGGGCAGTTCAGACTAGGCAGGGCCATAGCACCTGTGGGCCTCACGGAGAGCTGACTGTTCTGCTGGTGCAAGTTAAAATTAGAGTGGGTTGAGGGGTGTTTGGGCTTAGCCACAGCGTTAGCTGGCAGAGGCTGGTACTAGGAGCCAATTCTGACAAGTCAAATGCCAAAACTACCTGGAGACTGCATACTCTAGGAGTGGGTGTGGCCTAGTAGGGAAATAGTGGGCACCTCCCTCAGGGTTACCACCCTCACTGGACAGCACGAAACCCAGGCTAGGAGCAGGGGTGGCTTGACAGAAAGGCACCTGCCAGTGGGTGTATGGGCTGGATAATAGGTTGGTTGGGTTGAACCAGGCTTCAATGTCCATTGACGTGTGCGAGAGCTACTTGGGTTGTGGGACAGACTGGACAAGCCTGCAGTGCATACTGGCAAGCATGGGAACCAGGGTAGGGGGCAGAACTGGTAGGGGTTTTGGGGAGTCGCCTCAACTAGGCTGCAGGTCCAACTGGTTTGGATGAAGACCGAGTATGAAGTGGGTAGAATTGAGCTGGACTACAACACCCATTAGTTCACAAGGAAGACAGGGCTGGAAGCCGAACGGACCCAGTAATCGCAACGACCAGCATATGCATAAGCTGATTGG